GCCTCCGCCAGCCGGAGCCTACCGCACTCGGGCCGCCCACGCCCGCCGGAGCCCGCCGTCCTCGGGCCGCCTCCGCCAGCCGGAGCCCGCCGCCTTTGGGCAGCCCCTGCCCGCCGGAGCCTGTCGCTCTCGGGCCGCCCACGCCCACCGGAGCCCGCTGTCCTCGGGCCGCCTCCGCCAGCCGGAGCCTGCCGCCTTCGGGCAGCCCCTGCCCGCCGGAGCCTGTCGCCCTCGGGCCGCCCACACCCGCCGGAGCCTGTCGCCCTCGGGCCGCCCACGCCCACCGGAGCCCGCTGTCCTCGGGCCGCCTCCGCCAGCCGAAGCCCGCCGTCCTCGGGCCGCCTCCGCCAGCCGGAGCCTGCCGCCTTCGGGCAGCCCCTGCCCGCCGGAGCCTGCCGCCTTCGGGCAGCCCCTGCCCGCCGGAGACCTCCGCCGTCGGACCGCGTTCGCTCGCCGGGGCCTGCCGTTCCCCCTCGGGTCGCCTCGGCCCAGCTGTGTGCTAATTCACACTATACGCTCGAGACCTGGATGTGACTTACCACCTTCGGTGCAGCCAGATAATGATGCGGAGAACCAATGGAGAGCATCATCTAACAACCGCTGCTTTTGCGCCGGCCCATTTGAGCTTATGATCCCCACCACATGTTCGTCTGCAAGGTCCGTAGCACCACGTCACCGTGTTTCTGAAAACACCGATCACTGGGATGCGCGCCTCTCTAAGCCAGGTTGTTCCGCGGCTTGACATGTGGTCGCCGCCACTAGGCACAACCGCATACACTTCCGGATGACTTTTAATGACTGTGTAATTATCCTAACGACTTCTCTGAGCCACTTGAGGGGGAAATGTCAAGACAGTCATGGATATACTTCTTGGCTCATTAATTTGCTGCGGCTCATCGTTTTAACAATACAAACGTTTCCCAGCTTAGTTCGTGGTAGACTGCTTCAACATACCCGGTGTTTCTATATCCGAACAATCGAATCACGAACATAAACATGCTGACAAAATCTATTGTCATCGCTTTTGCCAGATTTCGGTTTCGGTCTCGGCAAGGTGCGTTGGAATAAATATTCACCGGCAGCATAATCGAAATGTTTCTTTTCATCAAAACAAAACGCCCAATGCATCACTCAGTGCCCCAGGATATCCTGGCAAAGATGGATCGCGAAAATGTATCCACATTCCGCAGTCAAGGCTGTGTTGACTGCCAAGCTGCTGTGATACCCCTGCCGGCTTTTGTCAGCTTTATGGCTTTAATAAAACTGCCGCTATTTCCAGCTTTTGCAGCCACAATAGCGCAGCCGCCGCTGTTGACCGCGCGTCTCGTGAGGTACCGCGCAGAGCGCCACGAGTCCCGCAGTCTGCCTGATCTGCCGCGGAGATACGACAGTTTGCTGACAGTGGGTTGCGATCGCCACTGCGCCGCTGCCGGCTGTGGCGCCTTTGTAATGCTAAAAGCTCGCCGGGTGACGAAACCTCCCTGTTTGTCCTCTCGACGAACCGAGCGTTAACGGCGTGCCCCAGGTTTGTGCTCTATTACGTTGCACGGCTTGGTTGTCTGCAGCCAATTTGCGCATTGCGCCAATCACGGTGCGAAATCTTGATTGGCTGCAAATTAGGTCTGGCATCCCATCGGTAACGAGCTGGCGCCGCTGGTCTGGCGGAGGCACGCCAGATTAGTGAGAATTGATCGCATGACTGCAGAAAGCCGGGTCTGAAGAGACGACATTCGGGTCTGGCGGTCAGCCGGGGGCGACGGACAGCCTGGGCGGCGGACTGTCAGGGGCTACAGACAGCCTAGGCAGTGGTTAGCCAGGGACGACGAACAGCCTAGGCCACAGTCCGTCAGGCGCTACGAACAGCCTAGGCGACAGAATGTCGGGGGCTTCGGATTGTCAGGACCGATGGACGGCTTGGGACAACACAGGCAGGAGCGACGGACACTTACATGCAACGAACATTCAAGAGCGATGGACATTCAGGCTGACGGACAGCCAGGGCGACGGACAGTCAGGGTGACGGACGACCTGTGTGACGGACAGCGTGCGTGACGGACGACCTGTGTGACGGACAGCCTGTGTAGCGGACAGCCTGTGTAGCGGACAGCCTGTGTGACGGACAGCGTGCGTGACGGACGACCTGTGTGACGGACAGCCTGTGTAGCGGACAGCCTGTGCGACGGACGGCCTGGATGATGAACGGCCTGGGGGGGGGGGGGGGGGTGACGGACAGCCTGTGTGACGGACGACCTGTGTGACGGACGGCCTGGGTGACGGACAGCCTGGATGACAGACGGCCTGGCTGACGGTCAGCCATGGCAACGGACAGCCGGAAGCGTAACAGCCAAGGGAGACGCGATACTCTCGGCCTCGCGGTCTGTCTCGCCGTAACGGCGGAGCACTGCGGCCCTCTCTTGGCAGCCACCGCTCAAGTAAGCGCTGCCCTTCAGCGCATGTCGCCATTCCGGTGTTTGAGGTGGCTAGAACGCTGTGAGACGGCTGCCCGGCCGCCGATCGGGCTGCGTTGGCGGGGGGGGGGGGAGGGGGGGAGGGGGGGGGGGGGCTCATGAGAATCGATCATGCCGTCATCGCCCTCGCGAATGGAGGGCCGAGCAGATTTATCGGTTGTTTAGTGCGCTGATTTGGGTAATTGATTTACGGGCCGACAGCAAATGATGACGCACTCCGACACGTTCTCCGATAAGACACCGAGCGGAACACCCGACGGCTGTGCCCTCGGGGCCTGATTCCTCCGTGATGTCGTAGCTGTCGTCGTAGGTGGTTGGTTGGGGGCACCAATAGTGGGCAGCTGAAGTGAACAGCGCGTGAGATTATGGAAGCACTTCTGAATAGGCATTTTCAACACACAAAGTTCCATGCAGAAATACAGAACAGCTGCTGGACTCACGTCTTGATAATCAATCCGTGTCAGCAATGGATATGTACAAACAGAAGATTAAAGCATAGCTACATTTGTATCCAAGTGAGCATGTCTGCCTGCCAGAGCCTTTTGTCTTGGGACTAATAAAAGCTGCTGATGGCAGTCTGTCAGCATTGAAGTCTGACAGTCAAACATGTCAGCAGTCATTTGTCACCACGCCGCTGACATTTCAAATACTGCTTGAAAATATAATTATAGCATTTTAGATGTATGTCTCTATCCAGAAAACGACTCTACTACGTTGTCTTTGACAACAATGACGTTCAAACGCCCCTGACCCCGATGCCGTCACGTGCTTGGGCGAGATGGAACAGTTTGGCGAGCAGGATGTGGGGAAGGCGACGGTGGCATTGATCGTGTCCTGGCGCCTATGACGGATTGGAGTCATATAGACCGCCTGAACGGCGCCATTCTTCACCTGCCAGCGGACGGCTTTTTCCGCCGAGCCCCAGCGTTCAGGACGCCCAGTTGAGACGCGTGCTGAGGGGAGAGAGACGGCCAATAGAGAAACTCACAAACAGCGCCGCCCGTCGTCGACGCGCCCTGAATGGCTCCAATAACCGACACGGTCGCCGGGAGACACCGATCAGATAAATGACGCGCTTTGTGCTCGCTATGTAAAGTTGAATCCAAATCTGCAGATTTGTATAGGCAACGAAGGAAAGGTAGCAATGTACAAAGCTACAGTTCAGAATCCGTTCAGTCAGCAGCCTCAATCACGACGCATTATCTCTGACCCAGTTATATAGGTTTGAGTCCACTAAGAACTTCTTCGCCTGCTCCAGGAAAAAAGATCTTGCACTCATCTCCCATGCATATATTTGGGCATCCAAACACACTAAGCATGAGCCAGATGAGCTGCATCAACAACTGCGTCAGATCGGCGGCACTCCTGCTTGTTAGTTAGTCTGAGGCGAGTGTGCGAATATGTATTCAAACAATATGAGGAACACGATTAAGTCGCATAATGTGCACGTATCATCTCTGTGCAATCGTTCTCAAACGATCGGACTCCACGATAAACATGCAAAAGTGTCAATTTCACTTGCTTTTTCATCATGAACCTACTGTTGAATGTATGCAAAAGTGCTAGATTGAGAGCGTTGTAAACATCCTCGGCGCCGCCTCGGGCACCGCACTAATCATCGCCAGCGGCCACCCGGCGCGTTGCACAAGTGCCCCCTCTGGCACTGGACGATCTAATCGCCGAATCGGCGGAAAAGCCAAACGGTAATCGATAGCCCTGGTCAATCTTACCCAGTGATCGTCCAGTTGACACCTGCCACACGACTGGGAACGCTACAGGCCACGCGAAATGATCTTAGAAATCATGAGCCTCTTCAAATGATTTCATGCCTCCTACCTGTTGTAATGGTGGTTTAGGCTTAAAACTGGCACCGAAAGAAAGCGCATGTCCTTGTTCTTTAGAATCACGATATGGTGTCCACAAATGTCAATGGGCAAGGTCAGGCCGGGTCAAGGCAATGCCAGACCACCAATCACATCACATCATCTAACATGGTGTTCCTTCCTCTTTCAGTTTCTATGTCACGTAGAAGTGTTAAGTGTAGAAATGTGTCGTTATTTCGATTTATTCATCTTATATGGGCGCAAAGGATCATTGTGGCGATCACTGAATATTACAATCATTAAATAAATGATTGTCATAAGTTGATCTTGCGTGACTTCCGCTGGTGACCTCGGATAATGTGAATGACCGTGACTGAGAGGCAGTTACGCCAGTTGATGATAAAGGAAACTGCGAGTTGTTACATTTAGAGGCAAAGATTGCCGCAGAAACCTTCGGCGATGGGTGAAGCTAGAACTCACTGACATAATCCGCCATCGAATGGTTTTATCTCTACGAAACATCAAACTGTCTCCTTGTCAGGTCGGAAAGTTTCGACAGACCAGTCAGAAACTTGGAAGGGGTAGTTTTACCCCCACCCCCGCACACGTCCTTGATGTTTCCGGTATGGGGCTACCTTTGTAGTCACTGACGGATGTCATATGTCGTCACCGACAGTTTCCTAGAATGTTCGTTGCTCTGTGATCACAGTGCTGAGCCAGGACCCGTTCTGCTCCGGCTACGTGGACAGCTTTGGCAAGTGGAACAACGGGTTTGCCTGTCCGAAGCTTGAGGAGGAGCCCGTGTTCTGCTGCGGCACCTCCACCTACCGCTACTGCTGCACCGCCAGGGATGAGACAGACCCGGATGTCTTCAGCCAGAGGTGAGGCCCTGCGGCGGGTGCACCAGTTTTGAAACGGTCGATTGCTCAGCGCCTTGGGCCAACACGTGAACGGTTGGGTTTGAATCCTGACTGCGACATGGTCGCGTCGCGACTCTATTAGATGAAGCGCCAGGGACTGCAGAGGCCATATAACGTTCAGAGGCCACTGCACAATCGGAGTTCGAACCCGAGATCCCCCCCCCCCCCTCCCACGCGGAAGCCGAAGGCGTTGGCCACTCAGCCGTCACGCTCCCTGGATCCGGCATCTTGAAGGATCGACGAGGTCGTGTCTGCGCTCAGCCAAGGCCTTCAGCGTCCGACCGCGTGCGGAGGCGCCGCTCCACCAATATTGACGTGAGGATCTCTGACGGATCGGACGGCGTAAAGACGTGGCGACAGAGGCGTGCCCGCTGGCGCGGCGGCGGTGCGCCGATCGGCCGTCATTTCGCGCCAACAGCTGGCGGGTCGGCCGCCTGATTAATGGCGGGAAAAGGGGAGATTCCGGCGGGCCGCGGACGGAGCCCGCGTGCGGAGAGATGGACGGCGATGGTAACGCGATCGAGATCTCCTGCCGGCTCCAACGGCTCCGTCGAATGCTGGCGACCTCACTCTCCAGCCGATGGCCAGAGATCAGACAAATGGGTAACGATCAAAGGCGTCCAGGGACTCCTCGCGAATGTCGCCATTGTGCTCTTCAAGACCATCTAAGGGCTTAGCATACATGTCTGAGGCCGCTAGATGCTAGGCCAGTGCGCTGAACCGACGCAGACCCCACTAATTTGGCAGCGTTGATACAGCTTTTTCCAACTAGCGAAGAGTATCAACTCTCATTACCACCTGCTGCCCCCTTGACCTTTAAACACATGTACACGTTTCTGTTTACTTAGACTGCCAGCAGCTGTTGGAGTACAAGTCGGACGCTGCTGTTAAATGACAGTCCAAACGGCTGTTGTCTTTCGCCTGCCACTGTCGGGCCGCAATTGGAGCCGAGCGTGCAAAAGTTGGAACTCATACGCTTGGCCATTTCGTTGACTGGTCGCGGTTTTCCAATGAGGCAAGCCGGGTCCGGGCTCTCTGCTGTAGAGATCGGCCAGCGTTCTGCTGGTGCGCGACGAACAAAGCGAGCAGAAAATCAGCGAGTCTGTCTGGGGACGCTGCCAGCGCTATCGAGCCCGCGCGGCTGTAATCCATTCGCCGCGTCCGTTCGGGTATTTCTGGGCAGCACAGTAATGTTCGGAACCTGGCACGGTCGGCTCGTTCCCGTGCGGTTTGCTGCCGCGTGAGGGCGGATGCACTGGTGGATGCCAAATGAGCGGCCGGGCTCCTCCGCACACAACGCTGCTGTCATCGGGGCAACATAATTCATGAGAATGTTTCCTTTAATGACACCTAGGCAGCAGCCAGCTTCGCACGAGCAGAGCTCTGCTTCTGCAGAATTGCGGAAGCCTGTGGTCTGATGCAGTGGTCCCAGTGCGTGTGGTCTCGGTGACGTCAGCGCAAGCGTGGTGTACAAGTCCCAAACACAGGTGTGCCAGACTAGGACGGACAGCTGACCGGAGCAGGGTCGGTCCGGTACATGCCAGGATTTCCTTAGACCATGAGGTGAACGTGACAAGCTGCATTGTCAACTCTACTGATACAACATATTGATGCACAGTGGCACCATTCACACTTACACTTTTTAACACTCACACTTTTACACTTCACACTTGGCGCCATTGTTCACACTTAGTCATCACTCGGGGAACTCTACGGCACGTGCTCCTGGTGGCCAGGCTTTCAAAAGAAACAGAATTACGATAACCCCGGCGTGCGCATCACATGCGATCGCCTCGCACCTGGCCGATAGCCCTTGGTCACCCTTGTCTATGCTGGTCGCCCTTGTCTTGTCTATGTCACCCTTGGGCTATGCAGGATGCTCTCCAGTTCGGTGTCTGGTAACTCCGAGTTCAAATAGGCAGCATGGATATTTATTACCCGATTCAGGTGCAAGTGCGCCTTGGCACAAAGTCAGGTACAGTCCAAAACCCATGACAGGCTTAAGCCTTCGTCTTCAGTCAGATGATATATGTCGTCCCCTATTGTATATCGGAATCTGCAAGCTTCTGGTGGAGAGTCACGTTATTGAAGCAGAGTTTGAAGTCCTTTTTCCAGAATCTGCAATAGGTTATGTGACTAGTGTTGAATTCCGGGGGCATATTTGGGATATCGTTCAGCAATGTGAATTGACAATTTGCCTTTTCCTCTGCGGTGAGTGACATCATGGTGCCAAATGGATCTAGGGCACTAGAACACAGCACGTGCTTATGTAGTATTAGGCTGGAAAACATGCATACAAAGGTATAATCTATTTTTCTACCGCACTGATGAAACGCGCCTGCAGTGCAACTCAGGTCACCCGCCTAATCTGGAGGCGCCTGATTTGTGTTACGCCTTCCGATTGTCGGTCCAGCATAAAGCCCTGACAAGGCAAGCTCCGAATACCACGCCCGCAGCGAACATATTACCCTGGTGCCCAGCCTAGAGATAGAAAGATTCTGCCTTTTCGCCGTTTTGGTATGAGGCATGGCCCTGTCGCATTTACTTCGGTTTTGGCCGCGCGGTCCGTTCCGCTGTCCCTCGTCCCGCTTGCTCAGAGCCCGGGCGGCGACGGCGCCGGTGGACGCTCCGCTGTCCCTCGTCCCGCTTGCTCAGAGCCCGGGCGGCGGCGGCGGCGGTGGACGTTCCGCCGCCCCGCGCCCCGCCTGCTCAGAGCCCGGGCGGCGGCGGCGCTGGTGGACGCGCCCACCACTCGAGCCGGAGCCGCGGCAGTGGCGTGCCTGCCGCCGGCGGTCCGGCGGGCTTGTTAGCCGGAGACCGGGCCGTCTCGTTAGGCGAGGCCGGCCGTGCCACGGCGCTCGTTCGGCACTTGAACACGCCTCCTGTGACGACGCCCGCGCTCCGAGCACTCCCGTTCGGCGAGGGGTGGGGTGAGGCGCGCCGGCGGCGACCGAGATGGGCTCCGCCCGGGCTGCGGCGGGGCTAGGGCGGTCGCCATGGAAAGAGGGTTCATTCAGGCCGCCACGAGGCAATGTGGGAATCACACTCCTGCAAAGAGTGAGCACCATGGTAAAGGTAGCAGCATAGGCGATTTGACTTTCTCATTCCACTTCATTCCACAATGAACAGAGTTGGGAGAGACGGAAGATTAATTCCTAGTTACTTCTTACGTTAATTACTTGGCTGGTCGGCACTTTTTTCTGTTATTGGTGCAAACTGGAGGGTGTGGTGGAAATCTGTGCTAAGAAATTTACGTTTGTTAGAAAACATGCGGACATGCTTTTGGTCTTTGATAAAACGTTATAGCTGGCGTTAGAGCTAAGGACGCTGGGATGTTTGACAGTTCTTCATGACATTTATCGCATTCGTTTATGGAAACAAATCTTGCCGATAATGTTGTCAATACCACTGTGTCAGCTGAGAATGTCACCGCACTGTTAGCCTCGACTCCGCCATTCCTCGCGCCTCTAGCACCGGTCGCCCAGGCGTCCCTCACGATCAGGCGGCAGCCTGGAGCTGTCATGCCATCTGAATAAGCCGCTGACTGACTAGGAAACCGATTGGCCGGCTGACTGACTGATTTGCCGCGTCGGCTATCATCGACTGAGGTGCGATCTTGATCGGCGTAGCAGCGGCCAAAAGGTCGTTTGTAAACATCGTGAGCCGCCGCGATCGCTTGTAAACATCGTGAGCCACGACGACAGGCTTGACCGAACATTATTACCGTCGGACATTAATGGGACATGATGGGTCAACTTAAGGTCAGCTAAAAGCATCAGCGAACGTGCAGGCCCCCGGCGGTTCGGACATACGGGCTGGCCAGGGATGGAATATCTGCTTCAATTTTTGTGTGCTGAGTTTTAACACGCTCGGAGCGGTGATCTGACGAATTTGCACTAGCATGAACTATAAGATATGCAGGCGTACGAATGCAGTCTAAAGACATGTTGTATGCTGTACATATGTATGCGCATGCCGGCTATCATTCGTATCAGTTTGGGTACAGGAGATCAAAGACCGCACGCTTTCTTCGAAACGCAATATTTCGTCGTCACGTCAGTGCTAGTCAAAACAGTGTCGGCACACGTGGACCATTGCGATGTGTTTCAAAAACATTCCAACGAACTTGTTCCAGGATCAGTTCGCAAGAATGTAATGCATCACAGTTGTGTGTTAAACAAACGGGCAGTGGAGATCTGTAGGCTATCACTGGTCACGTGTTCACATCCAGCCGCCAATATAACACGAGTATTTTCGTTCGGTGCAGGGTCACGATCGATGACACGTGCTTTCCCACCGCAGTATGCCGCTGGTGATGGGCGTCGTGTTCGGCACCCTCATCACCGTCGTCCTCGTCATCACGGCCATCTGCGTGTTCTGGAAGTCCTGCCGCACTTACAAGAAGCGAAGAAGTGGAGGAGGTGAGCATTCACAGTTCAAAAGCACTTCACCGATCAGACAATATGCAGGATATGTGAATAACCATCAAACAATGCTCCCGCACAAATCATCCACTGTTGAAGCATGCTTGACTGAGCTTATCTTGCATTCCAATAATGAGGAGCCGTTCCTGGCAGGTCCCATGTACCGGATGCAGTCGTCCTCGACCACCAGCGGCGTGGCCAACATGTACAGCTGCTCGTCAGGCTCGCTGAGCCATCACGACGGCCGCGGCGGACCGCACGACCTGGAGGACGTTCTGCAGGACGTGGACGAGGTGGCCGTCACCAGGCCGTGTCGGCTCAGCACCATCAACACCATCCCCAGGACCTTCACCTCCGACCGCTGTAACAGAGGTCAGACGTCGTTTGGTCACCAGAAAGAGAGGACAGATGTCGCGTGGGCCACTGCAATAGAGGTCAGACAGCGCATGGGTCCCAGACACCAGATCTTTACCCTCACCCGTGAGAGATTTCATTTAGACAAGACGAGGCCACTCGCACCAGACGTTAGACACAACATGGCTGTCTGAAGCAGAACTCGCGCACCACATGTCCAACGAACGACGCGTTACGGGGCCGGCGCGGACCCAGCGCGCACCACCCTTCCGACCCAGAGAGGACCGGTGGCACCGATCCGCGGATATCTCGCCCTGATTAGCGGAGACGAGCCGCCTGACACCGGCCCAGCATCGCCACCAGCGCCGCAATCCCGCGTCGCCCGCGTCACGGTGCCACCGGTGAGCACCGATGAGCGCGGTGCAGTGGGCCCAGAGCGGCGCATTCTCACGGAGTATGTTCGGGGTGAATTCTCGGTCACTTGCTTAGGAGGTCAAGAAATAAATGCGTCATTGGCGGGAAGGTCGGAAACTTCAAGTAGGACACCAACGTATGAAGACACACGAAATGCGTACCCAATAAGACCCCTTTCGTGTCAACTGTACACCTTTGTCTGGTGGTGTGTGTCACTGGCTACTAAGACGCCTTGTGGAAATAGAAAAGGGTGTCCGATTTGTCTTACTTGGACAAACTATTGCAAGCTTGCATACGAGTGATAGCTATAATACCGTCTTTGTTGTTTCAACAGCAAAGTTTTTGTAGCCGTGCATCAATATCTCAAAAAGGCGGGCACGCAGCGAAGCGTGCATTGCAAACTCCTTAAACTGACAAGTTTGACTTCAAGCTTCATCTTTTGGCCTTTCCCGTGTGACACGTGACTCTTTCGCCAGTATCATTCGCTGACTCGGTGGGCAACAGCTCGGCGTCGACGACGACCGACAACGAGCGCCAGCTGTTTATCGAGCAGTCGGGCGGACTACCGCCGCCGTACAAGCAGGACGCGGACCTGCCGCCGGCCGCCGAGGCGCGCCTGCTGCCCTTCCCGCGTTCGTTCTGCGTGCCCGCCGAGCCGCACGAGCTGGACGTCGGCCACTACCAAGTGCCGCGACCCCCCGGCGATGACGTCCTGTACCGGTCCACCAAGTTCTGAGACGCGGCGGGGCCAGACACGGCGCCTGGGCCGCCGCAGTGCGCATGCGCGGCCGAGCGCCGGCCGCCGCGGCCGCGTCGCCGCCGCCGGCGGGGAGTGCTGCGGTCCACTGCGGCGCGAACAGAGGGACACGCGCTGGGTGGTGACATTGTCGTACGCGACGAGATGAAGATAAGCCGGGCGCGGACCTGACGGACCTTACTGTGCGGGGTCAGGAGCCAGCTGCGACGAGGCATGGCTGTGCAAAAGGGACTGGGAGATGATCATGAAGGTACGTGTTCACTGTGCATGCAGTCAAAATGCGTGCCTCGTTCTCTTTTGCAATCTTCCCGTACCGAAACCAGCGATCTCCCTGGACCGGGCCCCAACGTGGTCAGAGGAGAGATGCATGCCTAACCAAGCCCTGTAGATGACCTGGGACTTGAAAGAGGCACAGGTACACAAGCGCCGTCGATCAGAGTATTCCTCAGCATGACTCGGGAAACTGCGGAGCAGTTAGGAAGGGTATGCTTCAAATTACAACCGGTAGATAACAATGGATTAGCTCTTGCTTAAAATCAATTCCTAGCTCTGGTAGGCGATTACATTATGGTGGTATCATACCGCCACTGATATAAGGAGGGATTTAAAGTTTAAAACATCGTATCTGTGACTGATCTGCGATGAAATCAGCTATCGGAACTGAGCTGAAATGTAACGAGGTGATTTATAACCTGACTGTCTGTTGTGACCGTAAAAGTCGGGATTTTAGAAACTGCGTTACGAGCTTTGGCCAAGACCTATGGATAGAAAGCAACATCACAGTTCACATTATTACACTGTCATTCGCCATAGCGCCCACAGGGTGCTTTGGGCATGAGCTTTCACGGCGAGGAAGTCAGTCTGTTCGATGCCAACGGACAGCACCCTTGGAAAATGTTGAAAACATGAGCCTGCTGCTGTCACCGCGGTCTTTTTTAAGTTTTCAAGATAAAACGACTCAGATAGAAGAAAAATGCTTATGCATTGGCTGTTAGACATTGTTCAGCCAGGTAACGTTAGAAACACTGGGATCGCAACTGGATTAAATGCAGAGGTATGTGGTGTGCGAATGAAGGAGTTTGTTCTATGAAATTCGTCCACTGGGCCAAGCAAGACACAAACCATGAGAGACAATGGGGTACCTACTGGCGCTGAAATGTGCTGTTCTCACATGACATTTATGCCCCGATAGCCGTCACCAATAATGGTTTCTTGCGCTCATGCTGCGTGCAGCTGCCGGCGCCGGGGTCATGAGTCATCCGGCGCCAGGTCATGGGTCGCGTGTGACTCATGACCGCAGGCTGGGGCACGGAGTCGGATGACGTGACGGGTCGGCAGGCTGCACGCAAGGACAGCCTGCCGGGTGAGGGGAGCGACACACAAGTACACTTATGGCCGGACACAAAAGAATGGTGGGCGGACACAACGTCCTGTTAGTCACCAGCACTTGCAGCTGAAGTTTTCGCCGTATGCTTTCCCGGACAAGGCTGAGGTGGTGAGCCGAATTTCTATGGCCGCTGTCTTGATAACCAAGCTTCTGGAGTGTCAGCGGGGTGAAAAGAAAGCTCAGGAGATCAACGACGTGCGAAGGCTATTTTTTAATTCTCTCTTTCCTCTCTCTCTCTCTCTCTCTCGTCTCTCGCTCTCTCTCTCTATCTCTCTCTCTCTCTCCTCTCGTCGTCTATCTCGCTCTCTGGCTTCACTTAGTTGTCTCTCTCTCTATCTATCTCTCTGCCTCTCTCTTCTCGTCTCTCTCCTCCTCTCTCGCTCCTCTTCTCTCTCTCTCTCTCTCTCTCTTCTCTCTCTATCTCTCTCTCTCTCTCTCTTTATCTCTATCTCTCTCTCTCTCTCTCCCTCTCTCTTTTCCTTCCCTTTTGTTCTCACTTTCTGTCCTCTAAGTCCTCGTCTCTCTCGCCCTGGCTCTTCACATTACGAATATGAAATGACCCTGTGAGAGAATTGATGGTTGAACTGTAGTGTGAGGATAAAGGGAGACAGTGGAACGTTCGCGCTTGTCACCATGCTCGGTGTTACCCTGGAAAAAGCCAAGGCCCCATCCATGGACATAATGTCTGACCGTAACAAAAAGCAACAGATCCCGCTCGTGGGCGCAGCAAGGCAGAACTTCACAGTTAACAAAATTGAAGATGTGTTATCTTGGATGGCTGGACTTGGACATTACGTGACACTCCAAGTGGCGCAAAGTTTGTTACCTCACGAAGTATGTAAGTTCCCCCCAAAAAAGCCGATGGTTGGCTGAATATGCCAGGGTTTGATGACATTCAGCAATTTAAATCACTTGCATCTTATTGACTGAAGACGCATTTCATGTATTTCAAACGCTGATTTATATATTTATATACGAACATGTATTTCAAACGTTTATCCGTTGACCGAGAGAACTTTATGGCTCGGTCCGACGTGAGAGACACCGCCATCGTAGGTACGCGTTATTTAGGGGATTTTCTGATCGATGGCCCATGACGAGTTGCTATGGCAACGCGGGCGCCGGCTCCTGTCATCTACCGCGTTATACTCAGGTAAGGCGTTGTTTGCATGCTTCCGTCGTTGAATTGCGAAACAGGCTAGACAGATAAAAAGCTCACCGCCCCCCCCCCCCCAAAAAAAAAACGTTTATCTCACCTCAGTGGTGTGCGCGTATTTCACAAAGGTGGAGAGGGGATCAACTAATTTTGTTTTACTGAAAACGCAGTTGAGCGCGCTGCAGGTTCGTGATATTTCTTGCATGGCGGGAAACACATCATGTTCTTGGTTTATGTAGTAAACGCGTCTATATTAAATTTTTAAATACCCGCATTTAATGACACTCATAGTAATCAATGCGATTAATTTGATAAAGGGAAAGGGAGAACCTAACCCCGGGCGCCACTGGGTGAGTGCGACAACATAACTCCGGGCACCACTGGGTGAGTGCGACAACATAACTCCGGGCGCCACTGGGTGAGTGCGACAACATAACCCCGGGCACCACTGGGTGAGTGCGACAACATAACCCCGGGCGCCACTGGGTGAGTGCGTCCCTACCTTACGCTCTAAACAGCACTCATTCCCATCGCGACGACGGGGGTGCACAATAAGAATGGTTTTGGCCGCATGATTAGTCGCTAGCGCAAATTTCAGAAATTAACCCAAGCTGCTTTACTGCCACTGTGAAATCCGTCTTGACAACAAAAAAATTCGCCGCAGACTCTTCACGGGAGAGTTAGTGTTTGGTCCCATGTTATTCATCAAATGGGTAATATCCTGTAAGAGCATATATGACAGTCTGGGGAGATCAATGGACAGGATGGGACTGCACCGACATTCCAGGGTTTTAGCCTTTAACCCAGATCTGAAATTGACTGCGTGCCATTTTCCGTGCAGATGTCCTCGGTAAAGTCATTGCTTTATTGCCCTTCTGGCGAGCTGACTTGACATGATTCAGGGCCGCCCTGCACGTCACAATCTGCCCGGCACGTGCAGGCGCGCTGGTGCCGCGCCGTTTTTGCCTCTGGCCGCCGGCCGCGGCGGGTGGCGCAGCCCGTCACCTGACCGTCACCGTTTGACGCACCGTCACCGCGGCAATATAAATATTGGCGCATATCGTGGGCCCCGTTTGGGAGGGTTGGCGCCCCTTCTTACCGGTTGAATCACCTCCAGCCAGATTGGCGGGAGTGGGTACTCATCAACCACGGCATGTTTGTGCGAAATGTATTTGGGCGGGATGGGGCTCCCTAAACGTGGTGTCACATTCACGGCTGATGCCTTGCCAAGGCCGGGGCGAGCAGAGTTCTGCTGGACCCGCTTCGACCCGCCGGCCACCTCCTTCGTCCGCGCCGCGGAGAGCGCATTGGATAGTCTGCGTGATCGGTGAGACAAAAACCGGCGGCCACAGCGGCGCACGGGCTGAATTTCAATCACCGATCGGTCCGCGCCTCGCGCGCCAACTAAGCCAGGCCGAATCAGCAGTCTGAGAACCGGGCTAAACCCCTCGGCGGACGGGAGGCATACCGAGCGGCTCCGACAAAGCGACCCGGCGGCACGCTGTCGGCGTGCCGTGTCATCCGTCCTGACGCGCGACGACATGGCCTCCTCGAGCGGTCAGCACTCTGCCGTGCCTTTCTCCGTTCCAGCACGAACTCGACCGGCCGCGCGCGCGTCAGCCACGCCCGCAGCGTTAGCGCGCGCCGCGCCGCCGGTGCCGCCGTGAAGCCGTGTCGGGCGGGACAGTCTATCCGTAAATTAGCCAGGCGGCGCGACGGAATGTGTGCATGACCGTTACGCGTCGGCTGGTCAGGTAACGAGCCACTCATCAGCTGGGCGACCCTGCACGTGTTGTTATCCAAACCACCCAGAACAATATTCGGTATGTATGCGTTCTGCCCGTTCAGCTTGTTTTTCGTAATTGAGCTTCTGTTCGACGCAAACATCGCAAGGTTTATGTACCCGGCGCTCGCCAGATGGCAGCACTCGGCGCCACCGTTAGGGAAAGTGAATCGTCAGCGTTTCCCGATCCAACGAAGGGCACCGCTGATCCCTTGTGACTCTTTCTTGTCGCCGTTGCGCGAGTGACTTCCTGGTGGCGCCGGCAGCTGTTTTTGTCGCCGTACTTGCTTCCGTTAGGACGGATCTGCACATCTGGGGAGACAGTGGAGCGGCCGGTGCACATGCCGGCAATGCGGGTCACCTCCGACCGTCAAGGAAAAGCTAATAAACAGCTCGGCAACCGGAGCCCACCCTTTGGGACGCCGGCGCGGCCTCTGACTGGCGGCGGTGACCTGCTGCGACGACGTCGCCACTGAGGCCCAGCCGCGGCGGACTGCAGCCAACGCCGTGCTCGGCCTCTGGCGTCTGTGACCTGCTGCGGCGATGTCGCCGCTGAGGACCGGTCGGGACGGACCGCAGTCGACGCCGTGCTCAGACTCTGGCGGCGGTGACCTGCTGCGGCGATGTCGCCACTGAGGACCGGTCGGGACGGACCGCAGTCGACGCCGTGCTCAGACTCTGACTGGCGGCGGTGGCGTGCTGCAGCGACGGGAGGAGGTGGACCGCCGCCGCCGACGCACTCGGCCTGAAATGGCAGCCGCCGAGGAGGAAATGGGCGCGATTCGTGTTTCCACACCACCGCTCGTGTTTCGCTGAATTTTAAAAGTCCCCGACACGCGAGAGCGTCGTTACATCTTGTTGAGATTGATGTGGCGCGGGGTGGCGACGGAGGCGCGCCGCGTTCGCGCGGTTTTTATTCGTCAC